ACACTGTTTTCTGGCCTCCTAGGATATCCACACATACAGACACAGATAGATAGGTAGGTAGGTAGATAGGTAGACAGAGAGAGAGAGAGAATATCCACACATACAGAGATAGATAGGTAGGTAGGTAGATAGGTAGATAGACAGAGAGAGAAAGAGAAAGAGATTTTTTTTTTGGTTCGGTTTCTTGAGACAGGGTTTCTCTGTTTGCTTTGGAGACTGTCCTGGAACTAGCTCTGTAGACTAGGCTGGCCTCCAACTCACAAAGATCCATCTGCCTCTGCCTCCCGAGTGCTGGGATTAAAGGTATGCACCACGCACGCCCGGCTGAGAGAGAGATTTTTTTAAGAAAAGAAAAAGAAAGTAAGTTAGGCATGGTGGTGTATGCCTGCAATGTCTGCCAGGACTTAGGAGGGAATCACTGCAATTTTAAGACCAGCCTGGACTACAAGGAAAGTTCCAGGCCAGCCAGAGGTACATAGCAAGGAGACCCTGTCTTAAAAACAAACAACAAAAAACAGATGTGTGGCAAGTCTTACACAACCAGTGCAACACTATTTGGTGTCTCTCTCTGATTAAAAGCACCAGTCTATAAGCCAAGAGAGGTGGCATACAGCTGTAATCCCCACACTCAGGTGGCTGTGGCAGGAGATGGAGAATTCAAGGCCTGCTTGGGCAATATAATTCAACCCTTTCCTAAGCAAACAAATGACAAAATAATAATAGTAATATGGTTCAAATCCTAGCTCTGCTAAATATATCATGTGATCTTTGGCAAGTTACTTTCCTGTGTCTGCAAAACATGGATAAACTCCCTACTTTTATGGGGTCATTGGAAGGATGGAATGAATGGACCATGAAGAACTTGGAGCATACTTAGCTTAAACACACCAGCTCCTACTGTCACTATTTTAGTAAAGAATTCACATCCGATGTCTTTCTTTGGCAAGGAGTTCAGAGTGGGGGTCGCTGATAGGGTCTCACTCCGCAGTCCTGGCTGGCCTTGAATGCAGAGATATGCCTGCCTTTGATTTGAGTGCTGGGTTGAAGGCATACTCCACTATCCTGGACTTGATGTTTAAAATTTTATTTTATGTATTTGAGTGTTTTGCCTGCATGTAAGTCTGTGTACCACTTGTATGACTGCTACCATTTGGACAGAAGAGGGTGTCAGATCCTTAGAACTGGAGTTACGGATGGTTGTGAATCACCCTGTGGTGCTGGGAATTGAACCCAGATGCTCTTAACTGCTGAGCCATCTCTTAGCCCCTTTCATGTTGTTTTTAACTAAAGGAAAAGTATTGATTGAATCTGATTCTAGTAGAATAAAAATATTTCTTCCTTTTGAGTCATAAAAGGGAAAATGCCTTTAATTTCAGCATTTGGGAGGCAGAGGCAGATGGATCTCTGTCTTAGGCCAGCTTGGTCTACAGAGCTACACAGAGAAACCCTGTCTCAAAAAAAAAAAAAAAAAAAAAAAAAAAATTACAAATTGATTAAAACCCTGAAAAGCACATGTATGCCACTTTCAGAAATAACTGTATTTTAAGCACATTGTTTCTAGATCCTCAGGCAGCTGCAAATACTCCATATGTCATATCATATAACCCACTTCCATTTGCTATGGGAGAGAAAAAATGAGGCTCGGGACATGCTATGATCTAATGTTAGGCAAATCTGAGCTTTGGTTCCAGCACTCTCTGAGCCTCTGGCATTTCAACCATAAAACAGAGATGACATCTACCCCACCAGGATGGGCTGAAGACACAAGACACACGCATGAAAAGGTTGCCCTAAGAAAGGAAAGGGGGAAGGACACAGAGCAACTCACATGGGCGCCTGGGTGCCATCGAAACTGACGCTGAGTGCCAAGGATGTTACCAGCATGAACATAGTGACCTAAAAGAGGAGTCCACAGTTGAGCTGACTCTGCACCAGCATTCACAGAGGCACAGCAAAATGCTGAGAAACTGTGACCAACCCCCACCCTGCTCATGGAAAACACCTCCAAGATGGTCTTAATAAATAGCACCTGACCCCCACCCGGCAGCCTCTTTTTGGTTGCATGGCTAAGAAACTAGAACTCAATGGGGCTCCCACCCCTCCCTAGACCTCATTTGCCCCTTCAATGTGGAGCCAATGCTTTGGTGAACTTCGGAGAGCACAGCGTGAGGCACTTGCATGGCAGTTCAGCTCTTCTAAGAAAGAGTGGCACAGATAACCCTCACCTTCCATTTTCTTGATGCCATAGTGTTTGCCTCGTGATTTGCCACCAAGGTTCTTGGAGCTTCCACCTGTCTTCTTGGATGCATATCTGACAGCAAGAGCTGTAGCTGCCTTGGGGCTCAACAGGGCTGTAAGTGCAGAGGAAAGAGAAACATTACTCAGAGAGGCTCCCAAATAGGATGCACATTCTTTGCCTCTGTGGATCATTTGCTAAGCTGAGAAGCAGCAAGGGAGACGAGAAAGAAGACAGGTGTGTGAAGGGAACAGGAATGCTAAGCGTATGGTATTCAGAGAATGCTGGGCAGGGAGCAATTCATCCTTGGAATAAGCTGAGAGGTTAGCTCATGGTGCGGGGTGTGCATGTGTGTCAGGGAGGGCAGACAATGAGCATAAATGGGGGGGTGGGGGTGGAAAAAGTAAAGATCATGTGCTCTGGCTCCTGACACATTTGGTCCTGCTGAGCAAGGAAACAGAAGCAGACACCAGACAGCTGCCTTCTTCAAAAATTCAGTCTTATGCCCTAGGGAAGGGCCAGACCACGGGACATGCACAGAGGTTTCTGCTTCAGCCTCACTTAACACTTCCTTAGCTATCCCCTCACCCACTAAACACTTGTCAACCGCACCAGAAGAGCAGTGCATCAGGGTCCCTCTGACAGGCAGCTGGCCATTTCAGAAAGATCTTTTCGTCCCAGAACCCACAAGCATGTGTTCAACCAAGATCAGCACCAATCTGACCTCTCCACTCATCCCAAAGTGCTCAGCCACAGTAATTCTAAAACAGTAATGATGTGGGAGGAGTTGAAGTAGGCAGATATGATCAAAATACATTGTATATATGAATAAGGATGTCAAAGAATAAATAAAAATACTTTTAAAAGAACATTATCTAAAATGCATACTAATGGGGCTGGAGAGATGGCTCAGAGGTTAACAGCACTGGCTGCTCCTGCACAGAACCTCAGGTCAATTCCTTGCACTCATGCAGTGGTTCACTACATCTGTAACTCCAGTTCCAGGATCCACTGGCTTATTCTGACCTCTGTGGGTACCAGGCACACAACATGACGCACATATGTACACTCAAGCAAAACACTCATACACATAAAACTCAGGCTAACATGGGCAACGGGCAATCTGATTTTAGGTCTCTAGACAAAATTATAGGACAGTGTCAGCACCTGTAGAAAAGCTTTACAGTGTCTGAAGCATAAGCTCATAGTGCCAGTTACCTAGGTTTCTCATATCCTCATAAAAACAGAAAGTAGCTGGGATATAGGGCTAGAGAGAAGAATTTGCAGAGCAGGCTGAGCAGAGTGGTGCACGAACACCTTTAATCTCAGCACTAAGAAGGCAGAGGTAGGATGATCTCTGTGAGTCCAAGGCCAGCCTGGTCTACAGAGTGAGTTTCAGCGGGATAGCCAGGGCATGTGAGAACCCATCTCAAAAATGAAACAAGCAATAAAAAAAAAAAAGAAAGAAAGAAAGAAAGAAAGAAAGAAAGAAAAAAAGAAAAAAAGAGAGAGAGAGAAAAAAGAAAGAAACATGTTCAATGTCCAGCAGTGGAATCTTCCTAAGTTTAAACATCCACTTTCAGGTCTCAGCCTCACGTAAAAACTGTAGTTACAGGCATGTACTACCTGGCTTCAGCCACTGACTTGTGGGTGACTGATGTTTTTGCTTGTCTACATTGTTTCATTCATTAATCTTTGCTCTAGGGGAAAACAAGGAGAACCTGCAGGTTACTTCTCTTCTGTCGTTTTACAGAGCAGAGACCTGTGGAGTCTATCTTCAGAGAAGATGTCATACTCATCCACCTCTCTCCTAGTTCACTACCATCACCACTAATATCTTGGCCAAATCATCCTATAGCTCGGCTGCTATTCTAGTTTTCCAGCCTGATTATTTTATTTATTTATAGCTTTTGAGACTGATCCCGATGGCTTTGGACCTGAGGCAACCCCCCCTGTCTCAGGCTCCCAAGCACAGGGATTACAAGCACTTCCATTCCTGTTTTTATTTGCATTCAGCCTGCCTCCTCTTAACTTGCTACTCAAAATATAAAACTGGATCAAGTCACTTTCTTGCTTTCTTTCTACAGAGGGTTAGGTTTGTCTCTTTTAGGCCTTCATAGTTATCTCTTCATAAGATATCCTTGAGGACTTAATTTAAGACTCTTCACAGCACTTATCACAACTAAGTTATTTACATGTTTATTGCTGTACCTACAGAAAGGGGTTGTAACCATGTTTTTTGTTTGTTTGGTTTGGTTTTTCGAGACAGGGTTTCTCAGTGTGGCTTTGGAGCTTGTCCTGGAATTCGCTTTGTAGACAGACCAGGCTGGTCTCGAACTCACAGAGATCCTCCTGCCTCTGGAGTGCTGGGATCAAAGACATGCGCCCCCACCGCCCATGAGCGTTGGTCATGATTATATACACCTGAAAATCCAGCACTAAGACGCAAACTACACAATGGGGGGGGGGGGAACCTAACTTCTAAACAATGATTAACTCTTGTGAACATAGTCTCCAAACACGAAGGAACCCACATAAACCCAGAGGGGATGAGGCGTCTAGAGTTGCGCTCTCATCCTACACGCCCACCCTCCGGCAGCGCCGCCCACCACGTGTCACATGACCGGAGGCAGTCGGCTTCCAAAGGTCGCGAGCCCCTCTCTCCTTTGGCATCCAGGGTTCGCCCTGAGACCCAGTTTCCATCTCCCAGCCTCCCTGCTAGTTCTCCTCCTCCCAGCAGCCACAGCACTGAGCTACCTGCTGCCCCCGTCCTCAGCGAAACAACTGCCGACGCCATGTTAGCTTCTCATTCGCTTCCGGGCTGGGAAATCCGCTTCCGCTACCGGGAGCTCTACTTCCGGGTCCTGCTTACAATTCAAAGAGTGGCGGGAGCAGTACCAGGTGAGCGCAGGTCTTGTGGGGTTTGTGGCCGGTACCTCCGGGGCTTCCTGCAATGGATCGCTGGCCTCAGAGGCAGGGAGCATGGCCGGCACAGATGTTTGTCCCACTGCTGGAGTCACCCGAAGCCAAGGGAGGGACCAGGATGAGGCTCTAACAGATTCTGCGCTAAGCTGGTTGTAGATGCACAGTTTCATTTAATTACTACAAACTTAAGTTACTGGTCGTGTATTAAAGAAACCGAGATCCAGGAAGCTTCCAAGGATTATCCTGGGCCACGCCTGCAGTCACTGATTATTTGCTGAGAGAATGGCTCTTGCTTGTAGCCCAGCAATTCCAGGCATGCCTCAGTATACACTCAAGAAGTGTGAAAACATACCCATTCAAATGTTTGTACGAGAATGTTTGTGGAAACATAATAGCCAAGAAAGGGAAGCAAAGTGTCCATCAAGCAATAAATGCGTAAACAAAATGTGGCCTAGCCACACAATGGGATGGTATTCAGCTAAGAAAAAAGAAGGCAGTACTGGAGCTTAATACTGCTGCAAAAGGATCCTGAAAGCATTAACGTGAAACACACCAGCCACAAAAGGCACATACTGTGTGCTTGTATGAAACACACAGGATACAGAAGTCCATAGAGACAATAGACTTTATTTTGGTTGTTAGCTGCTGGGAGAGGGAAAGAATGGGCAATGACTTTTTAATGGTTGTGGGACTTCTCTTTTCAGACAGTCTCACCAGGTCATATAGGCTGGCCTTGAACTCAAAATATCCTCCTGTATCTCCCTCCTGAGAGGTGGGATTGCAGGTGTGCACCAGCATGCCCAGTTTATATAAGATTTCTTTTTGTGATGATGAAGACATTCTGGAATTAAATAATGGTAATGGTTAAACAACACAAAAATACTAAACCCCATTAAACCCATGCATGGCTCTATGCATACTAGGAAAGCACTTTACTGCTGATCTACTATTCCAACTCCTAAAGTACATTTTAAATATATAAACTATTTATGTGATTTATAAATATGAATTATAAAATATAGTTATGTGAATTATTAGTTTTTCCTGAAAGTCCTCTGATTGCCACTTATGGGCTAGGGTATGCACGTGCCCACACACGTAATGATCTCCATGTCAAATCAGGAATTATTGTGCATACTTGTAATCCCAGCACTTGTGAGTGAGAGGCAGAGAGATCAGGAGTTCACAGCCAACCTGAGCTACATAGGACTCTCTCAAAAAGACAAAACAGAAAACTATGTTGAGTGCAGAGATCAGCAAGGAGCTAGTATTGTATTTTGTTAGTAGTCCCAGCAAAGTTTTATAACTGTATTTTGATTATAATTCACCATGACCTAGAAAGGTTTTGAAGTGGGAATCCTGTTGGCGTACCAGAGTTGAGTTCCAGAGTGAATGTGTTGGCATATGTTCTATTTCTCTGATTCTCTTAACTTATGTGTCTTCATTAAGTTTGGCCACATGAATATCTCTATTGAATGGTCTCTTACACGTCTCATCTCCTTTTAGGCAATTGATAGCATGTGTTGATGGCTTTAAAAAAGCTATCCCTCTCGCTGCTTTCCATGGAGAGTGATTCTGAGGAATTGCCCACATTTGCCTTTCTGAAGAAGGGACCATCTTCAGCTGACAGGAATCAGCCTCACAAGGAGAATGTAGTGGTTGTCACCTCAGATTCTGAGGCCTCCTGTCCTCCATCACCAGGCTTGAAAGATCCGCCATTTGTCCCAGACACAGCTGAAGCTCCCACACAAGCAGGGCCAGTCAGGGTGCTGAGCAGTGAAAGTGAAGAGGAAGATATATTTGTCCCCCTGGCTGAGAGGATCACATGTAAGTTTTTGACGCATAAGCAGCTGAGCCCAGAGCCCTCTAGCTCCTCACTTAAAACTGTGTCGAATCATCAGAATATAAGTGGACCATGTGACTGGAAAAAGCAGCCAATTTCAGAGACCCCAGATGTTCCTCTTAATGACACCTTGGAGAAAAGCCCAGCAAAGGATGGGGACTCTGTCTTAGACAGTTCTAGCCAACAGCTTCCAGCTTACCAGTCTGTCTGCAGGGAGCTGGCAGTAACCAAAACAGTTCCTGATATCCCTCTGCCGCAGAAGAGAACCAAGCACAGTCAGAAGGTCCAGAGAAGCGGCTCTCAGGGATGCTGGCAGCAAAGACAGGCAAGCAGGCAGGAAAACGCCCCAAGCCAACATGAAAATAAAAAGAAGGCAGTGATGGTCAACAGACTGAAAGCCCAGAGGCCTGAGGAATGCCTGAAGCACATTGTGGTGGTGTTGGATCCAGGTTCTCCCAGATTCCAGCTTCCCTTTGAGCCCAGTTCTGTGTCCAGGACTCTCCCGTGACCATCTCTTTCCAATCTATTGTAGCGCTTTTGCAGATGGAAGGTGGAGGCCAGCTCCTGGGAGCACTACAGTCCATGGAGTGCAACTGCGTGATTGAAGCCCAGGCTGTGGCTCGAAGTATCACTTGGAGGAGGAGGACAGAGCTGGCAGAGGTATGAGCTTCTGGCTGGAGGTCCTCCTTCCCCTTCACCCTCTAAAACCGATACACTGCTCCTGGTTGAGACTGAGTGGCATAGCTGTTACTGTTCTCAAGTCTGAAGGGATGAGGAGAGGAAGTGGCTAGCAGAATCCAGAAGAACCGAGAGGGCCAACACAGAGAAGCCTTGATCTGTCATAGAGGTGTAGGTATAGTGAACAACAGGTGACACTATTATGGGCAGTCCTGGGAAATAAACAGGCAGAGTTCATTCTCTTTCCATCCAGTGTACCACTCAGGTTCCTAGCTGGGAGCCCAAGGGCCTGGGGATCATGTGATATCTAGACGTAGCTTAAGCAGAGTGGGACAGGGGAAGAGAGTGTGTATGCAATCCCCCTAGTTCTCTAACTGGGCTTCGGGATTGGAGAAGCTGTTTAGATCCTGGCCCCGTGGCTTTACTGCTGGACTCTGCAGGTTACCACATGTCTTGTGCTTCAGGTGCCTGTTGTAGACGGAGGACACTGGTAACAGCACTTTCCCCTGTTGGAGGGTCTAAGTGAGGTAATCTGGGTCTAGTAGGCTAACGACACATATCCATCTTCTAGCCTTGGGTGTCCACGATACTATACCAGCTGTTTCTACCATTCCTCCTATCTGCGAATCCAGATACCCCCCTTTTAGGAGTTTAGAAACAAAACTTTATGATGTTTGTTTCCCTCTCATTTGGCCCTCATAACTCTCAGTAACTTAGGACAGTCACCTACACATTTAACTTGTGTTATTACCAAAACTATATTCATATAGTTTAGCGGCACACACCTTTATAATCCCAGCACTTAGGAGACAGAAGCTGGTGGATCTCTGAGTTTGAAACCAGCCTGGTTTATATATAGTGATCAGGACACTATATATTTGAGACCCTGTCTCAAAAACAAACAATAAAACTTCTTATATTCATGGAGAAGTTTGTCTTTGAAGACACTTTGCAGGTTCTCTCATGTTCCTGTCACAGCTGTCCTGAAGGTGAAATCTTCCCGTAACACAGGTAGAGAAATGGTGGGATCAGAAAAGCTAAATGCCTTGTTCAGGGTCACAGCTGGAACTAAACCGCAGAGCTCCTATCTGCACCCTGCTGTGATAGGAATCTTGCATTGGGTTCTAGGAGCCATGAGAAAACTGGTCTTGTTCCCAATCACTCCTCAGAACTGTTACTGTGGGGTGGTTGTCCTTGGAGCAGCCTGGCTTTTACTGAGTCCTTAGTCTGATGAAGGTTTTGTGTGTGTGGAGTGTGTGTGTGTGTGTGTGTGTGTTTCTCTGGTGGTGCTGGGGATGGAGCCCAGGGCTTCATGTATACCAGGCAAACACTCTACCGTTGAGCTTCATACCCAGCACCAATTCCTCCCCCCATCTCCCCTGATTTTTTTTTTTTTTTTTTTTTTTTTTTGAGATAGGGTCTCTGTGTAGCTCAGGCTGTCCTTAAACTCAGATCCACCTGCCTCTGCCTCCCAAGTGTTGAGATTAAAGGTGTTTGCCATCATGCTTGGCAATTTAAGTTTGAGACAGGGTCCCTCTGTGTCACCCTGACTACCCTGGAACTCTCTATTTTGACCAGGCTGGCCTTGAATTCACAGAGATTTTCCTACCTATGCCTCCTGAGAGCTGGGATTAAAGGTGTGTTAACACTCCCAGCTTTAAAAATGTATTATTGTTGTGTACATGTGTGTGTGCCACAGTGCATGTGTGAGGGTCAGAAGACAACTTTGTGGTATCATTTCTCTCCTTCCTCCTCTACATGGGTTCTAGGCTTCGAACTCCAGTCACCAGGCTTGTTGGCAAGTTGTTTTGGTCACTGAATCCTCCTACCCATCCTGTTCATATTCCATGTCTGAGATGCAGTGCACCACCAGCACTGAATAAACAATTGAGAGGGGAGGGACCAGATCACAGGTGATTTTTCTTGCCATCATGACATCATTCAAGAAGGAAAGGCTATTATATAGGGCTATTCACCCAGAAAATCCATCCCACCCACAGGAACCACAGCTGCTAACCTTCCCGGTGCTGTGTTCTTGGGTCTTTGGCAGGATGGAGAAGGCTGGCTGGAAGAACCAACCATCCTGGTGTTGCTCCTGGCAGAGGCCTTCATGTCCATGGTGTACAATTTAAAGCAGGTGTGTGGGGCTAGGGGGTAGAACTGAGGCATGGGATGGTGCCAGCCTCTTCCCAAAGAGCCAATGTTAATGCCCTTCTTGCCACTTTATGCAGGGAAGTCCGGGAAGTACCAAGAAAGGGAAGGATACACTTGAGGGCTTTGTAACTGATGTCACAGCAAGGACAGGGAAAGCATTGTCACTGGTAATTGTGGACCAGGAGAAATGCTTCAGGTATGGATATGCCCTATAGATATAGGCCTTAAAGGGGCAGCTTGTGAGTTAGCAAGGGGGAATATTCACCCTGGCTTCAAGGCGTTCTGGAAGATGGTGTCCCTGATAAGCTGTGGGCTATGCTGGCCATTGTCCTGCAACACTTCTGCCTGGCTTAGTTTGGGGCTGCTGTTCCAGGGCTCAGAATCCTCCAAAGAGAAGGAAATCAGGAATGGCAAAGAAACAGGCCAAAGAGAAGCAGCAGAAGAGACAAGAGTCTAACACAAGACTCATGATGTCCAGGGTAGACATGGAAGAGGTAAGAAATCCTGTTACCTGGGTCAGGTGAGTGCTCACTGGTTATCTAATTAGATTTTCAGCTGAGAAGAAATAAAAGGCACACTAGTACTTCTGTCTACCAAGGAGTGAGTAGGAAAGGGGAATAAATGGAGCCAAGAGGCTGAGTGTAGCTTCAGTGCACACTGAGAAGACTTCCAACCAGTCTCTCCACTTTTCAAGTCTGTTGTTACCTTTGGGTTCCTAGGCTTTGGTGGATCTGCAGCTACATACAGAGGCCCAGGCTCGGATGGTGCAGAGCTGGAAAGAGCTGGCTGACTTCGCCTGTGCGTTTACAAAGGCTGTGGCTGAAGCGCCCTTCAAGTGAGTGACCTGGCAAGCCCCACTCCATGCTAGGCCTTGCTTTTCCCTTGGTTCCTGCAGCCAGAAAAATTTGCCTTTCTCCTAAACTGCCACCAGCCCCAGTGTCTGTTTTTAGGTAAAGGCCTATCTTATGCTGGAGATTGTTGGCAAATCTAGAGCTGGAGAGATGGCTCAGAGGTTAAGTAAGAACACTTGCTGCTCTTGCACAGGACTCAGACTGTTCTCACACCCACATGGCAGCTCACAACTGTCTATAAGTTCAGTTCCAAGGGATCTAACACCCTCTTCTGGCCTATGAGGGCACCAGGCAAGTAAGTGATGCACATACATACATGGAGGCAAATACTCATACACATAAAAGACCATGCCGGGCAGTGGTGGTGCATGCCTTTAATCCCTGCACTCAGGAGGCAGATGCAAGTGGATCCCTGTGAGTTTGAGGCCAGCCTGGTCTATAGAGCTAGTTCCAGGAGAGCTAGGGCTGTTACACATTGAAACTCTGTCTTGAAAAACATAAATAAGTGAATAAATACTCAATTCCAGCCCTTTATAAAAATATTCTTTAACTCAGATGCAGATCTATTGTATAAATTAATGCTGGGTTACTAGGATCCATTCAGGTTAGATCTTGAGTAATCTTAGTCTGAACTGAAAACTCAGGGATTTCAGGGACAACCGATAACTGAGATTGAGTTTTCCAAGCCCCCGGCAAGTGAGAACCAGAAATAGATTCCAAATTGACCAATATTCAGCCCTCTGTGCCTACAAACCCAATGCAACATAACATCAGGAAAAAAAAAAAAAAAACCCAATACCTTCTCTAGTGAAAAAGACTAGACGCAGGGGTTGTGTTTTAATTTGTGTGTGTGTGCATATGTACGAGAGTGTGGGCAATAACCTCAGATACAGGTCCTTACGGAAAATGCAAGAATTTCTTTGTCACTGCCTGTGTAGGGATAGCTGGCCTGTGATTCCAGGGATTCTGTCTCCATATCCCATAATCCCATTGTAGGTCTGGGGTTACAGATGCAGCAAGCACTTTACTGGGGAACTCATGTATTTCCTCAGGACCCAGATGCAATTTTATTTTCTTCTTTGTATGTATATGGTTGTCTTGCCTTCATGTGTGTGCGTGATGTGTGCAGTGCCCAAGGAGGACAGAAGGGGGCATCAGATCCTTTGGAATTGGAGTTGGGTAGAAGTGAGCTGCCTGCCTTGTGAATGCTGGGAATCAAATCTGCTATTTTGGCAGAGCAATCATGGCTCTTACCTGCTGAGTCATCATCTCTCCAGCACCCCCCACCCCCACCCCAAACTAAATGCAGTTTTTAAGGGAACCTGCAACCAACAACGTGCTTGAGAACAGAAGGACTCAAATTGGCCTGAATTTTTCAGTCCACAGTTGAGGGGACAAATAATTAGGAGAGAGGAACTCAGGTCCCCAATGGTGCTCTTGCAGGAAGCTCCGGGATCAAACCAGCTTTTCCTTCTATCTGGAGAAAGACTGGGCTGGAGGGATGAAAGTGGACCAAGCTGGTAGGGGACTTGCACTGATCTGGAGGAGGCAGATTCAGCAGCTGAACCGAGTCAGTTTGGAAATGGCCAGTGCTATTGTGGATGCCTATCCCTCACCACAGCTCTTGGTACAGGTATACTGCTATGGGTGGTCTCACTCTCTGAAATTCCTGAGGGAAGTTTTATTGGGGGTCCAGGAATGTATGTCAGCAGTGGGTTGTCTGGCCTGAGAAAGGACAGGTTCTCCTGCCTCAAATTGACCTTATTACCCTCCTGTCCTGGCTCATAATAAACCAAAGGATTGCCATGGATGGGTGGTATAGGATTAAGAGGTCATTTACCACTTCCAGGCTTATCAGCGGTGTTTTTCGGAGCAAGAACGCCAGAATTTGCTGGCCAACATACAGGTACGCCGTGGAGAAGGTGTGACATCCACCTCCCGCCGTGTTGGGCCAGAACTATCCAGGCGGATCTACCTTCAGATGACCACACTGCAACCAGATCTCATCTTAGACAATGTTGACTGATGTCCCGTGGCAAGAGGATTAAAGATTCCCCATCCTTGGTATGTGACAGCAGAGGGAGCCAGAAGTACCTCTCAGGTACAGTTAGGGATCAAGTCTCCATGTATGGGGACAAAGAAGGCTGAGACACTGCAGCATTTACTGTTCCTCTCCCTGCAAACCAGATGCGTGGACAACTAACCATCCCACCCTGCCCCAGTCAACCCTCACAACACAGAGGAGAAAGGGAGACCACTCAGACACGGATTTAATAATTGTAGAAATCCAAAGAATAAGCATCAAATCTCGAAGTCAGAGTGAACTCTTGCCTGTGGGTCGGCTTGACTAGGCTCAGCCACTGAGCTGCCTCAACCAGCCAGGAAACTATGACTAGACTGACTTCTGTTTTCATGATGTCACCATATGTAGTATGTATTTTGTCTCAATAAAGCATTTGTACCAATGGCTCTGGAGCTTGGAGGAAGACTAAAGGAATGTGTAGTGATTCTGAGTAGGGTGTGGAGCTACATGGCAGAGCTGTCTGGGGGAGGAGAAAACAAAGGCCTTTCTTCCAGTGTCAGGACAGCTTTGAGTGGCAGACTATCCAGATGGGCCACTAGGGCTACACTCTCTGAACTATGACAGGTACTTGGTCCCTTAGGGTAGAGGCGAGGAGCTTGCAATTGGGAGTTTTTAAGCAGATTAAGCACCAAGACAGTTATTTCTGATCCCATCATCCAGCTGCTGCGAAGAGACAAGGGAAAGGGGCTGTTTGTGCTAATATCTAGTTTTGTCTGTGTGCCACTCTACAGCACCACCACGTGACTGCTTCCCTTTGGCTCCCACTTTTCTACTCTTTCCTTCCCTTCTGTTACAGGTCCAGAATCAACTCTAAACCTGTTTTGAAATCAAGTTTCTAGGCTGCCTCTGAGGTATTTTATCACACCAAGTATGAGTGGACCTGTCCCGGGGCAGCTCTGCCTCTCTGCTTCCAGGCCATCAGGGACTTAATGCTCTAAATTGAGGCAAGGAGAATAGCCTGCTGCCATTTTGTGGAAGCCATTTAAGCTGAGGCAGAATTCCACAGGTGCTTCCCAGGGCCCTGATGGTATGAGATCTATTTGTGGGTGGCAAGACTGGTCTATTATGAAAGACACTTTGGCTGAGACGATTCTGGTGTGAGTTCATTCTCTTGGGTATTTTCAAGGAGGCCAAATGGCATTAAGGAAAGGACGAAAACTATAGTGAGAGTTGGGTTCTGCTTTAGACTAGCTAGAACACTTTAGGCAAGCCATGGACTGCCTCAGTGTTACACTGGACAAATGGCAGTGAAGTGACCTTCACAGCCAGGCATGTTTTGTTACTAAAATGCTCAAATATCTGAGATCTTTAAGGAAACATATTACTCCACCCTCCCAGCTTAGGCTAGATTTACCCAAGTATTCCTAATAACACACTGCCCTCCAATCTGTCCTGGTTACCCAGGGAGAAATGAAAGAAAGGGTTTGTGACATATAAAAGTATAAATGTAGTGACAGCTGACCATTTAGTAGAGAGGAACCTTGCCTTAGATAGTTTTGTGTAACTAGAAAAGCCTATGTCTTCTCTCTCCAGCTCCTAAGCCTATTCCTTAGGCATGCAGGTAACTCTTCCTCCCCCCTCTCCATTTCTCCTCATTCCACCAGGGAACCCTGACTAAGGAACAAAGAAGTCCTACAAAGGGGAGATCTCAAGTACCAATCAGCAGCCATTTGATGATGGCAGGTAGGTCTGACGCTAAAAAGAGGTTTGTGTCCAGCAGAACCCAATTCCATAGGAATCCAAGCTCCAAGGCTGGGAGGCAGCGGTGCTGAGGACAAGCTCACTGCTGGGAGTCGGTCTGCAGGACCCACTGGAGGATCTCGTGATGGCGCAGGCCCTGGACGGCATTATCGTAGATGGTGTTCACACTGTTGCAGAGGGGCTGATGCTGCAGCCTTGTCACCCGGCATGCAACCAGCCCTCCTGCCACACACAGCAGCAGCAGCAGCAGCAACACCTTCAGCACAACCCAGGAGCGAGTATGTTTTCGGGGTGGTGGCTTGCGAGGGCGAGAGCCAGATTTAGACTCTGGAGGGACAAAATAAATCAGTATGTAGAGAGCAGCTCTACAATCCATGCAGATCCACTCCCTTCTTCCCAAGTCCTGAGCAGATGTTTTAAGAACATTTAAATAAGAGCTAAATCCCCTGCTATTCAGAGGTCCCCAAGGTCTCTAAGTGGGATTCATTCTGTTGCCTTCTGTAACTCAGTCCCCGGGCTCTTCCATTCTCTTTGGTAACAGGGAGATGATTTGGGGCACTTGGGTCACAGGAAGCTCATCAGGGGTGTTCAGAAGGGATAGACTGTCCCCCACTTAGGGAGAAGGGTCCAAATCACTAATATCACACATGTCATTATTATATAATAAACTAGGTGTGGTGGCACAGGCCTGTAATCCTAAGCACTCAGGAGCCTGAAGCATTACAAGTCTGAGGACAGTCTGGGCTGTAGTGCAGCTGTCTTCAAAGCAAAAACTGAATGCACAATGTCTGTGCCAAAACAATGCCAGTCTCTAAACAAAAGAAAAAAAATCAGCCAGTTGTGGTAGCTCATGCCTGTAATCCCAACCATCTGGAGGCTGAGGCAGAAGGATCACAAACTCAAAGCTAACCTAGGCTACTCTTCAGGACCTTTTCTCAAAAGACAAGCTCAGGAGCCAGGTGTCATGGTGCATGGCTTTTATCCCAGCAATTGGGAGGCAGAGGCAGGCAGATCTCCAGGTTCAAAGCCAACCTGGTTTACAAAATGAGTTCCATGACAGCCAGGGCAACACAGAGAAACCCTGAAATCCTGTCTCAAACCCCACCACCCCCCACCCCCTAAAAAAGAACAAGGTAAACACCACATCACAAATGCAACTACTACCAGGAACAAGGATGATCATGTGTGGCTGCTGTGTTCTAAGATCCTCTCACCCATGATCATGTATTAATCTCCCTCTTTTCGAGATAGGTTCTCCCTGTAGCCCAGCTTAAGCTCAAACTTACAACCCTCCTGCCCCTATTTCCCTAGTGTTAAGGTTATGAATATGTGTCAACATGCTGAGCTTCATATATTACATTTATAATGAGAAAAGCCTTGAGAATTTTAGACGAAAAGGGGGGAACTGTTTTTTGTTTGTTTGGAAACAGGGTCTTACTAAGTTACTTCACCTGTCCTGGAACTTGCTATGCAGACTAAGCTAGCCTTGAATGTTGTGATCCTGCCTCTACCTCCTAAGTACCGCCACGCCCAATTTAGGTAAGAACCGTATGAGTGTTTTCTCACTTATTCTTTACCTGTTGGCAAACAAGCAGTAGTGACATTAGGTGACTTGCACAAGGCAAGGACAAACAAGCAGAGACACAACCACCACTCCACCCTTGCTGCACGCTGTCAATGGAAAGCAAACCTACTTGGGGCCTGATTGGTTTCCTTCTTGGGCTTCTTCTCCTGCTCTCGCTTGGAAGCTTTCTGGGCATCATACTCCTTTCGCCGGCGCTCCTTCTCCTCCGCCTTCTCCCGCTTCCGCAGCTCTCTTTCCTTTGCTTCCTTAGCTTGCTGCTTGGCCTCTCGCTTCTTCTCTGCTTCTACAACATATATGCAAAACATGACTCCTCTCACACAAGGCCCCCAGCAGCTTGCCTGCCTGCATGATTACAGTGTGCACTCATCTGCCTTTTCCCTTATGCCATGGGTCACACCAAAACTGTAAGAGAATCCAGGTTGGTAGCACAGGTCTGTAATCCCAGCACTTAGGGTGTGAGAGATGCTGAAGAGGGTGTGTGTAGGATTATGAGTTTGAGGCTAGATTGGGCTATAAAGGGAAAATCTATGAAAAATGTACTCCCAGCACTCAAGAAGCTGAGGCAGAGGATTGCCTGGTCCAGCCTTAAAAAAATGAAGTTTCTTCCAGGGTTTACTGAGTCTTCCTAAGCGATTCCTGGCTACAAACAATAGGAAAATTAGGGTGTACTACAAGCAGGACCTAAGAAAGATATGGGTGAATAGGCAAGATGGTGGGTAAAGACAACTGCCACTATGCCTGATGACCTGAGTTTGGGGGTTTTTTCTTAAGATTTTTATTTACTTTATGTATATGAGTGCTCTATCTGTCCAACTTTATGCCAGAAGAGGGCACCAGATCTCATTATAGGTAATTGTGAGCCACCATGTGGTTGCTGGAAATTGAACTCAGGACCTATGGAAGAGCAAGCAGCCAGTGCTCTTAACCACTGAGCCATCTCTCCAGCCCGATGACCTGAGCTTTATCCCTAGATCTCTCACAGAAGAGAACAGACTTCCACAAGTTGTCCTCTTTCCTCCACATGTGTACTATGGGCACACAAAGGAAATAACTAAATTGTAAGGAGGCTGAGGGTGGGGGACCATAAGCCTAGGAGTTTAAGACTGGCCTGGAGAACACCCTCTCCCCCCCCCAACACAAATGGACAAAAGTGCACAGAAGGCAGAACCTCCTAGTCATAAAGGGAAGATCCAATGGAGGCCCTGGTTCTGTGGGATGAAGGGGAAACAGGGAGGAGGGCGGTGAGGTGAGTTCATGTCAGGGTTACAGTCAGTACAATCTTTTTCACAAAGTCACACCAACTTAATTCAGAAAGAATCTGCTCAACACAGATTCACTCAGGCAGACATTACAGCTCGTGTGCTGACATGAAGTATATACAACCTCCAAATTATTGCTTCTAAAAATGCATTTTCAAGTTAGTCATTTAGAAGCCTGAAATGCATGTTTCCAAAGTAAGAATACCACAAAATGGCTGTTAAATGCACTGTTAGGGCTTAAAAACCTAGGGGATTCATAACAGCTGAACAGCAGCACCATCGGGACAGTAGCTTCCCATGCAAACAGCTGGTGTTCCAGTTGGACACAGAGAATGCCAAGAATAGGCCACACCCAGCCTCTGGGGACATGGTGCTGGCAAAGAGTGGACATAGCAGGAGCTGTCTTGCTATGGCAGCTACACATATAGCAAGGAAAGCTGTAATTC